ACTGTGCTTGCATATTTCCGTCTGGTACACGGTGATAATGATGATTTATTTTTTTTCGACAAAGGCAGGAACCCTTGGTCTTTAGCCACCTTTGTGCATTCACAGAGTGCACTTTTCGTAGCGGGAACGCTGGCCTGTGCGACCGCTTGCCATCGCGGTCAAACTGTACTGGGGCTTCGTAATGTTGACATATTGTTTGTGGCGCCGTTTCCCTCCTGAGAGGAAGCTGATAAGATTCTGTGCATTTCCAGACGTCAAGTCATGGATTTGGTCTGTGTGTGTGTGTGTGTGTGTGTGTGTGTGTGTGTGTGTCTGCATTTACAGTATATGATCGGAATGGTGATATCCTGTTCATGGCTATATCAGTGAAAGCATTGAAAACACCAGTTTTCCGAAGCAGGAGTTCCATATTTAAAAGATGCATTTTGTTTTGTTTTGTTTCTCTGCGTTAAGTAAGACATACATGAGGTAATATACAGTCGACCTGCCAAAGTCCATTCCCCAAAAGGTGTACAATTTGGAGATAAATAGGTCACGTCAAGGAAAATTTAGGAGTTCATCTTCGCGTGTGACACCATGCGAGACTTTGGCAAAACGTAAGACTAATCGACAAGGAAGAGATGAATTAATTTTGCTTGTTTTCATAAAACGAACTGAGGTGGACTTTGAGGTTCCACGGCACAATCACACATACGCATGCACATACCAGGCACTATGAAGCAGAGCATGACGTCGCTCTGAGCCCTGGTGACATGGACCAGTGTGGATCCTTCCAGAACAATGAAGACTTCGGCATCTTCAAGCATGGAATCCTCCCCCTCCAATAATGCAAACACTTTGGCCTGGCCCTGAGGTAAAAACAATTGAAAACCGGCATTAACTAGAAAGAGTTAAATGCGTAAAATATAGATTCATGGATTGGTTTTTTTTTTTGTTTTTTGTTTTTTAATTCTAGTGTACATTTGTAAATATTTGAGTGGTACACTAAATCTATCAACAGATTTTCTCTTGAGGGTACAATAAAAATTCCCCTCAATAAAAACAGGAATGCCTTTTTTTTTGTGTCTGCCGCAAAGACCCGCACTGATCCCAACAGGCCAGAACATTTTGGACGCCTGATCTGAGGAAGGAGAATGTGAATTAGAGCAGAACCATAGCACAGAGACATAGACTGATCGGAGCCTAAAATTGTCAATTGTGGATGTAACAATATATCTATGGCACTCTCATTTGACTGAGAATCCCAATTAGGAAGGCTGTGTTGAGGTCTTTTAAATGTGGGCCATTGTTTCAATGCAGGCAATTTAAGTACAACAAAACATGTGCAATTGCAAAAAAATAAATAAAAGTTAAAAGTAGGGACTTAATTATGAACATGAGGATGTGCACAATATGTAAAACATTTGGCTGATATACAACATAATAAATTCAAGCCTTTGGTCTCCACTCAAACAATGTGAGCATGTCCACTGAACGTGTGAAACCAGGCCACGCTGAAAAATGGATGCTCCTTCGTCTAACATCTTTCTTATGACTGGACATCCCTACATGTTTGAGCCGCCAAGACATAGCCACTAACAGCCTCCGGTGGCTAAAATGTATCCCGCTGGGTCATCGTGGGGCTTTTCTTCAAGCACCACCATGAGAGTTGATGTAGTTACTGGGTCCTGGGCCGGAGCATCAGCAGCAAGTACTGTTACAATGCCAGTGCACTGATCAACCGGTGATTAATAATTCATTTTAAAAGAGTGGTTTTCCATCAGGTAATTTTGCCAAAATTTATGTCCGCGTAAAATTACAATTCAATGACGAAAATAGAAGGCATGAATGACATTACAGAAATATTTACAAGCAGAGAATGAGATAACGGACAGTAATGGGGAAAGTATAATTTATCTGCTGCTTCTGAGTAATCTCATCAACCTCATCCCCGAGAGTTCTCCTGCATTGGACTGCAGCTCACTAGTTGCATGGCGGGCATAAATCTATTGCAAAAGACATACAGTAAAGCATCAATAGAGCAGATAGTGTGTGAATTATTCTGGGAAATATGAAGTGAATGAGGTACCAGAAAATGAGACAGGCTGTGAAACAGAAGGCAAGACAAAAGCGCCAGCTGTAAGGACGACCTTGAAAGACGGTGTACATGGAATATTAGAATTGTGTGGTAAGACAGTGTGGGCTTCACAAAGTGTTTCCAGTTGTCTCCTGTTCTCTTTCTTTCATTGGCATTTTTACATGCTTGGGGTTAGGGTTTAGAAAAAAATTCTTCGGCAGAGAAATGGGGGATACGTGTTTTCATGTGAAAACAAAGTCCTTGAATTTTCTTACCCATGTAACGCTGATCCGACGCGATTCATTTGCTCATTCATTTCTTTATATGAATTCAAACACACTCGCATCCCTTTTGCACAAATGGAATGGCCACCAGTGTCAATTTGTTTGTGTTATCCATGTATCCTTTCAATAACACTTGTCTTCAATAGCATCACGTTGAGTTAGAGCCTATAGCAGCTGACTTTTGGCAAGAGGCAGGCTAGATATAGCCTGGACTGGTTCCTGGTTGATCACAGGGCACCTCCAGACACTTGAGTCTTCAATAAATGTAACATGTATGTTTTTTCAAAGGCGGGAGGAAGTCGGAGTAGGCGAGGGAGGACCCACCCGAGCACAGGGAGAAGATACAAACTCCAAACAGGAAGGATTAAGGACACGCCAAACGTTAACCCACAATATTGCCCTTAATTTGTACAAATGTATAAATCAAGAAAATACACCACATCGAATTCCCAACCAATTCTGAGTGTATTCCAAAAGGCAGACTATTGTCATGAATGACATGAAATATGTTGCAAATCTTGTCAGACTTCAGTTCAAGCAACATACGCAGACTCACATTTAAAGCTATGTGAGTGTTTTGTTTATAAGTTTAACAGTGGTTAATTTTTTTTTTTAAACTTACGTGAAAATAAAGATTAGAAATTTAGATGCAGCAAAACGGATCACCTTCACCCAACCATCCATTTCGTCCATTTTCATTAGCCATTGACCTCATTAGGATTGTCGGTGAGCAGCAGTCTAGCAAATTCCATTATGCTTTTGCCTTGGGCTCCATTTTTTTGTGACCGTCACAAAATTCTGCACGGGATGTGGAGTTACTCTGCACGGAGGCATGTTAGACCTGATGTTGGTAATTTTGCAGTCAAACACAAGACGGCAGATCTGCAAGAGAGTGCTACGCCACTGTGGGAGTGGTCACATGGCAAACATGGCCAGTCAAAAAGGCTCCTTTCATTCCCTAGAAATGCAGCATGAGTTGCGCAAAAGAGTCTCCACAGGGCAGAAGTACATCAGCACCATGTGGCCGTTTGGAGATGAAGCAAGCAGTTAACCTCTTTTTTGAAGAAACTAGATTATATTCCAAATTGCTGCTTTACTCTATGAGCTGTAAACTGCCACCATCTAAGAAGCCCATCTCAAATTTTTTGCTCACAAGTCCATGCAAAAAGAAAATCAGTTGAACAGCTCGTATTTTTTTTAAAAACTCCTACATAAGGCTGGCAGCATCCCAGAAATTTTTTTGTTGCATCTCTCATTATCTATTGTATCACGCATCTTATCAATTAAAAAAAGGAATGGCTACGCTACAACAACAACAATTCTATCCCACAAACCAAAAAGACAACTATTAAGACTCTCCACTTTAATGATGATGTTGGTGCAAAGATCCGACTCATGGTAAAACAAGCAGCATGTCTTTCAGTGTTACAAATAGGATGTGCTCTTTATTTGTGTAGCCTTGCGGTGACCTCAACGTGACAAAGCAAACAACATGAACAAACGTTAAAGCCTAAGAAATATACCACCCCTTTGATCCTCACGTTAATATTTGCGTACACTATTGGGATCAAGAAAACTGAAAGGCGAAAAATATTTACCCTGAACACATCCGCTGAATGATTTCACAGGTACATATGTGTCACATGTGAGGCAAATAAATGTTCCTTTTTAACTGTGAGTAATTGAATGACAAATAAAAAATAAGACTTTGAATGAATCAAATGGTAACTGATTTGCCATTTAGACAAACATGATGCCAAGTTTCTATTCATAGTGGCACTGACTGATGTTTTTTTTTCCAACGAAACTACAATTCAAAAGACATATGTGACTCATTGAAAGACAGATGAAGGTCATTATACGACCATGGCATAAAAATACTTCAATCTCAACAACCTTTCTGAAGACCGACACAGGCCTTAAATCCTTGATATGCTCAAATGACGTGCGGTATTATTTCATGACATCCACTTGAGAGTAATGTACTTCTGAAATTATCGTCCCCAAGTTTAGTTTTGTTCTCCCATTTTAATATTCTAATTCCATATTACTGACATCAAGACTGCAAACTGGAGCACATACTCACATAGAGGGGCACTTTCCTTCTGCTCAGCTCCATTTTTGCTGCACCTGCTGGAAGAAAATGGCACTTAAATAGGCATTTGAGAACAAAGGATACTTGATAATGGTCACCTTATTTTGTTAGGTCTGCCTCTTCAGATCTTGAAGGGATTAGCAAACATTATCTGTTAGAGGCGGAGTTTTACTGTGACATGATTATCTTTTCATGAAATTAAGCTGATCATCTTAAATATTTGACTTTTTATCCAAGTGTACATGCTGTTCCACGAGACCTAATTTGATAAACATGCACAATAGTCACTATGTTTTTTTGTGTGTGTGTGTGTGTGTGTGTGTGTGTGTGTGTGTGTGTGTGTGTGTGTGTGTGTGTGTGTGTGTGTGTTTGTAGACATCTCCAATGGAAAAAAATATTCAATTTCAGTGATGCATGGTTAAGATCTGTTTTTAGTCCGACTGATGAGCTTTGTTATCTCTGCAAAACTGAATTAGATTTCACTTTTACAGCACTGCGAATAATACAATGTAAAGGCCAAAACTACATGGCATGCTGTTTTTCTTTTTTATTTTTTTGCAGGTAAATGATTTAACTATTGTCAGTGGGATCAATACGAGCATATTAGCACTTTTTTTCTTATAGTAGGAGAGAGAGAGAGAGAGAGAGAGAGAGAGAGAGAGAGAGAGAGAGAGAGAGAGAGAGAGAGAGAGAGAGATAACACTAAACAGTTAGCATAAATAAAAGATAAAATAATAACAAAAATATAAAAGATTACTGATGTGTACTTACTTACCTTTGCGGGAGCGAGACCAAAATACCACTAAGAAATACGACAGTCCTCTTCAAAGATACGAGTAAACCACCCTTGGCTCCATTCCTTTTCTTTTTGTTAATAATTCACGTGTTCGTGCAAATAACTTCAAGTATTTTCGGCGTGGCTGCTATTTAAAGGGGGAGTGACCGGTGACGATACCACAAACCCGCAACCTCCTTTTCTTTGAGCGATAATTGACACTTCCTCACTTGTCAAACTAAAGTGATTGTTTGGGTAGCAGTGACCTCTAAAGCAAAAATCCAGTACTGCAGGTATCACGGAAATCCAATTGAAGTGGAGGGGTAACAGTGGCTCTTTGGTTTACAAGTCGAGTGTATTTGTGATGTAAGTGATATTGTAAATGTTGGAATTGTTACGCTTATAGCTCTATGAAATTTCATGATAAGGATGTAATATGTTGCTGTTATGCAAAAATGTATTCCATTTAGGTAGCACTTTTTTACCCTGTACAACTTCAGCAATTTTTTTTGTATTTATTTTTTACATCTTCCTTCACGCATTAGCCCTTTGAGGCACAGCGGTCACTACAGTGGACAGTTTATCATGTTACAGGGTCCATGAAATGGTTATGGACGTATCGGTCTGATGAAACTAAAGTTGCACTTTTTATCCATCACTTCAAAAGCGTTCAGAACAGACCAATCAAATTTATACTAATGCCAAGTAGGAGTCAGCATAAACCTGAGACCATTTAATTAACGTGCCTCAGATTAAACCTAAATAAAGTCCAGCTGTTCTAGTAGGCTGTTCCAGGCATTTTTGTCGTCATATCTTACAGCACAAGTCATGGCTCACAAAGAGCTTCTAAAGCACCGGAGTGATCTCATTGTTCCAAGACATCAGTCAGAGGAAGGGCACAAAAGAAATTCCAAATGGACCACGGAACACAGGGACAACAAAATCCTGCTGTGTAGCCTTTTTATATCAACTCCATCTACAGTATGTGTGTGAAGTCATGTTACTGAACGTTTTATGGTAATCAGATCGTGATTCAGGAATTTTATTTAGTTACAAATATTCAGGGAATCTGAATCATGGGTTTAAGTAGTAAGTATGTTAGATACCACCTTTTTCAGGCCGATACCAGTTTGATTACTGGTTTTCACTCTGAGGACTCATCGATAACTCCAAATAATTTTGATATATAACATTTAATTTAACACAATGTCAAAAGTTTGTGTCAAACATTCACAGAATAGCACCAACTACTGCCAAGGAGGTCTTAATTTCAGATTGGTTTGTAACACTGGCTGGTATCGCTAGGCTCCACGAGAGCCGATACCTTAAAATAAGGCCAATATCGCCACGATACAGATACCTGGTGTCTGGTACTTGCCCATCCCTAATAAGTAGGAGTGAATTATTAGGATTTTAAAAGTTAGCTCTATGTTCAGGTGATAAATGAGGGAGGTCCATGCCGAATGTCACTTTTAAAATACTTTCAAATACTGAGCAGGTTCCAACATTGTTTATTCATGTCTTCTTAATAAATGTTTCTCAATGGATACAATATGAAAACACCATCCAGCCATTGAGAAATGCTCACTCATACATTAACAATTGAAGTATAATTAAAAGACTTAACAAAAAAAAAAAATTTAAAACACTTTTTTTTTTTTTAATGAGAATCCTCATTCAGGAAAACACATTTTATTAAATGTGAGTGTTTGAAGGTCCTCAAACATGAACCAAACTGATATTATCTGATGGAGCCATGTGTTGCCCGTCACATGAGGCAAATTCAGGCTGATTGGATGTTTAATACAAGCTGTTAAGGGTTACATTCCATCCCAGGGTACATCAGGTTGCCTGGAACTGAGGTTGTGAGGCACTCGTCTCTCCTTTGGCCAGTCCATTGGATCTGTTCACACCCAGGCACGGCACCTCCTTCCTCGGGAGATGGCAAGCAAACACAGTGTCCAACATACCCAGCACTTCCACGAGGTCTTGCTGGTAGTCGATTTCTCTCTCCAGCAGATCATGGAGACGCAAAAGCTGGCGGTCCACGATGGACGATTGGCCAATGACCGACCCATAAATGTCCAGCATCATCTCAGCTGCTATGACGAGGACAGGGGTGAACCTGGGGTCAACCAGGTGCCTGGAGAAGATGAAGGAATGGAAACCGTAAATGATTATTTACTTAAATTCAAGACAATTATACCGACTTACCATATTTTCACTTTTGCCCTCACCGGGCTCCATTCTGAACACCCATTATAGTTGGCCAACGCAAGTATTATGTTTACATGCAGCAAAGTTAACATCCAGTGCGATAGTCTCACCCTATTAAAAAGTTGAGCAACCGAGTGACTTCCTGTTCATTCCGTCCTGCGAGAGCATTTTTCAAAGTTCCTCTTCGATCCAAGTCCTTTATAAGAGCGATTGGAATTTCCGGCTTCTTTTGTCTTATCCATGACTGCAATCCAAGCAGACATTTTATAAACTTATGATGTTTTTGCCTGAAATACAGACTAATGGTGAGCTAAAAGACATACCTGCATAGCTGTATCCAAAGCCTTGGAAGCACTAAATTTCTTCAGATGTTTGTCATATTGTGCTAGATGCTGTTTCACAGGTTTACTGACAAGATAATCATCCTGGGGAAAAATAAAGACCAACTCACTAGAGGAAATCATGGCCTGGATGACACTGAAATTAAATTTCACAGCTTTACGAAGAATGGGAAGCAGCACCGCCGAGTTATGCCACAATTTGTGAATGGCTTGTGGATGCTTGGGCTAATGTGTCTGCTTTCTGCTGTCTTCGTTATTCATTGTTTTATTGTTCCTTGTTGTATGAATTATTTCTGCTCCATGTACAGCACTTGGTATACAGTGGTGGCTGTTTTAAAGTGCTTTGCAAATACAGTTGAATTGAGTTGTGGCCCATGTCGAGAGCAATTAAAACATTTTTTTCATGTTGTCCCTGCAGCTAACCCATATTTCAAACCATTTACTTGCTACTTCTGTAATTAAAAAATAATAATTACAATACGGACAACAAAATCCCAGTAATGCTTACCTGTTGAGGGATGTAGTTCTTCCCTTTGACAAACACACGATATGCCGGTCGTCGCCGATGTTGACCTGACAGTTCAGTTGACTCCTCAGGGTTTTTCCTGTGTTTGATGCTCAGGATACCGTTGGTCATACCCACAGCAATAGTCTCATCATCTGGCTGTGAAGAAAAATAACGAGCCAAAAATAGATTCACGGTACTGGTGACAACTTGTACAGGTGTGACTCAAAGGTGAAGCGTTGTTTGAATTTCCTTACAGCCAAAGCCAAACTGAGAATGGAGGTAGCATAATCAAAGTTGTGCACCACTTTGTAGTTGGTCGTGTTGTACACCTTCACGTGCCTAAATAGACAAAAATATTAAATAAGAGCGCACCCAAAAAAAGCACACTCATGACTGGCTTTTAGAGCATTAGTGTGTCAAGCGCAAATCATAGTTTTTGTACCTGTCCAGGGACGCTGACAGCATTCTTTGGCCACTGCTGCTCAGACACAGACAGGTGACAGTTTTGTGATGGTTCCTCAGTGACACCAGGGGCTGGCCGCCTTTCAGCAGATCCCACACTTTGACATATCGCCCTCCTGGAAAGACCAGCAAATTACAGTACAGGCCTTGATTGAGGCTTCCCAACACTACTGCTTTTGACACTACAACCATTGCCGTATTTTCACAACCAAAAGTCGCACTAAAAAGTCTTACATTTTCTGCAAAATGGATGAGGCACCTAATAATAAGATTTACTAAGACTGAGAGGCAGCGCCGGGCGATTTATGCCACAATTTGTGCATGCATTGTGTATGCATGGTCTAACGTGTCTGCTTGCAATGTTTCTGAGCTTTCTCAAAAGCCGGCACCATTTCTGAGGAGCCGCACGACAACCGAGACTGACTCTGACAATGACATGAGGGAACCTGGCATGTTTGATTGTGAACTTGTGCAGCTGGTCATTTTGGACACAGAAGATTAGGACTTTGGGGGATTTGAGTATGAGGATGGATCAAAAAATAGTGTGAGTACATTGTTAAATACTTCAATAAAGTACAACCGAACTCAGTTTTGCTCCCGTTGCCTTTTTAAAAACATATGCTAAAGTGCATGCATGCTACCGTATTTTTTAAGCTAACATACGTTTTACCGCAATTGCATCTGTTAATGCAATATGTCTTGTGTCTGTGTTAAATACAGAAATAGCACCCGTAACTGACACTATGGCTTTTAATACGGTGTGCTGTATGGTCTTGAAAATACAGTATAGTACATACCTGCTGAGACAAGAAGTCCTTCAGAAGGGTACAGAAGCACACTTTCCACTGGCTGGCCATGATCCATAGTCATTACAGACTTGTCAACTCTGGCATCAAACAGTTTAATTGAGTGGTCGTATGATCCTGAGAGGAAGAATAAAAAATAGTCACATTTTGCACTTGTCATCATACTGTACTAGCTTTCACTTTATTACGATTTAACCACCCGTAATGAAGAGATCCCTGTTGAGTTTGCTGGTGACACCACAGCGAATGTAATCTGTGTGTTCTTGGTAGGTGGTGAGCTCTGTCGCATTGGGGATGTCCCACACTCGGCAAGTGTAGTCGTCCGACCCAGTAACGATTTGGTACCGATCAGAGGTGAAGTCTGTCACGTGTACAGCCCTGAGTGGATTTAAATGGCAAGAGGATAAGACGTGCATCTGTATATAGTCATGAACAGGAGATACCAAGCTTGTGCATTTGTAAATGTTGTCAGACAGTTAAGATCAACATTCAATTCAGTCAATGGATCACTCAAGAATTCATTATTACACTTCTCAAGCTCAGGCAATTTTAAATGATGAAAATATTAAAAAGAAGTGTATTTCCTACTTTGTATGTCCTTTGAATTTCCTGAGTGCCACCTTGCCACTGACGTCAAAAAGCTGCACAACCGAATCCTCACATCCCGCCACGAGGAGCTGACCATCTGAACGGAACCTCCCGCAGTATGCAGTGTCCTTAAATCGTGTGAATGTCTTCACAGGCTCCTGGGAGAATGGGCCATAAATGTGGATCTAAAAGGGAGGGGAAAAATAAAACATGTAAATAAATGCTACATAGCATGGTATAATAAAATTATAAGTGCATTCTGGAAAACACAAGCCA